TTGATCTAGCCATGGACACATGTGACTGGAGAACACAGTTTCCTTCTGATTCACGCTCGAACATCATCAACAAGATGTAAGTTTATTTCCTGTAGAAATACAAGGTTTTTTTCTTCTCTTATGCTCTTTATATTTGTATTGACCAATACTACTTGTGTGTTTCTTACTTGCAACTTTTCACAGATTGGAAACACTAAAGAGGCACCTTCCATTTTCTGGACCTGAGGGACTTAATGAGCTCAGAAGAATTGCTACTAGATTCGAGGATAAAATTTACACCACTGCTGTTAACCAGGTAAATTAGTAACCGCTCTCTGATTTGTGAGGCAATGGACTCCGCAACATGGGGGAAAAAAACCGACTTTTGGTACCTTTTTGATCTTGTTTTAATTCAATTTTCAGACTGATTACCTTCGGAAAATATCCGTGAAGATGTTGACTATGGAGACCAAGTCTCAAGCTTCAGCTGGTTATTCGACATTTCTCCCTGCTGCTAATTATGCTACACCCTTGTATCAGTCAGGTTTCTAACAATCGAGCCCGAAATGCTTTTTTTTTTCCAGTCTTGGCCTAGGAAACATTTTTGATTTGTTATGCGGTTTTTGTTCTTCTCAGTTTTATGAAGTTAATAAATAGTGTTCTTGATGCTTTGTTCACATAGGCTATCATATGGTCAATGACAATTCAAGGACTTCTCTTCCAAAAAGAGAACCTGATTTGAACATAGATGACTGGAGAACTCAACTGCCACCGGATTCACGCCAAAAGAATGTCAACAAGATGTAAGTTCATTACACATTTGTCTCTCCAAAGCTGTCATCTTCTTTCACTCGCTAGTCATTTCCTCCTCCAGAGTCATGTTACAACGTTTTGCCACATTTACTTGACCTATAAATATGGTTTATGAACCACTAAATTACTTGTCATATGAGCAGAAGGGATTCACTAAACAAACATGTTCCCATTTCTGGACAAGAAGGAATTAACGAGCTCCTGAGAATTGCTGCCAGCTTCGAGGAATTAATTTTCAACGCTGCTAGAAACAAGGTTTCACTCTCCTCTTCATAGATGTTTGCCTCAAAATTGTTAAGATAGTGTAAAACCATAACATAGTGGAATATTGGTAGAAAAAACATGAAATTCATGCAGCCAAACGGTGAATATTTTTTCTTCAAAAATTTCATCCTTGGAATATTTGATGTTTTTACCTCTAGGAAATGCAATTCTACTATTTATGGATCCACATACCAGAACTTTTGATTCTTTAGTTTAGTAAAATAGATTTGTATATTTCTAAGGAAATGGGGATCTTATGATCCTTGTTATATCTTATGATCCCCAATAAATTTCCATGTATAATGTTCTGTTTGTTTCGAGTTTCAGATGGATTACTTTCGCAAAGTATCCTTCAAGATGCAGACTATGGAAGAGGGCGACTAAGTCAGCGGTTAATTGCGTTTGAAACTTTCAGGGCAATTGCATATGTATAATTATAGAACACCTCCAAAGTTGAAGGCATGAATAAAAATGTCGATTGCGTTTGCATATGTATTTAGGACCATTGTGTAGTTTGTAACAATGAAATGTTTCTCGGGGAGGCTTCCTCGGAAGCCACCTCCATGGCCTTGGCCCTTGCTCTAACGTAATGATTTATCTGTAAAATGGCGTTTTTTACTTTAGAAAATGCAGTTCTACCATTTGTGGTTTACCAACCAAAACTTTTGATTCTTTAGTGTAATAAATTAGATAGCATTCTATTATATACGGCAATGGATAAGAGATCCGACTTTTGTTACGCATGAACCTTATATGAGCTCCAATATCTATAGATTTTGATTAAGCTCCATGTGTGTACCTTGTTGATATATTCCCCTTGTGTTTATTTCAAGTTTAAAGATGCAGACTATGGAAGAGGGCGACTAAAAGTAAACTGCGTTCAAGGGGCGTTTGAAGCGGTCAATTGCGTTTGAAACCTTCAGGGCAATACAATAGATATATATATGTATATAAAGAGCACATGCTTATAGGCCTTGAAACTTAAAAATTCAGAGTATGAATAAAAATGTCAAATGTTATCACATTGGAGCGATTTTTCAAAACAAAAGTTTCTCCAATATCAACAACCATGAAAACTTTTTTATTAGATTTATGGACTAATTATAAAAATTAATAAAACATTATGATTTTATCATTAGTTTATGATGAATTAGCGTGTTATATACTAAGGACGGACATTTTTTTAATTTTTTTTGTTTGGCAATATATTGACTATTGAGCGAAAGT